ACGACTAGACAGCTCTCCTTTTCAGGCCCTGCATCCTGCATCACTGACAAGGGGAAACCAATGTAGGGATCGAACACCCGACCTCCAGGCTACACTGTGTACACATTAGCGTGCACGTAAAAGAATATTTAGTAGATGGAATTCGATATAAGTGTAGGCCGTAGCGCAGCTCTTCGGAAAACTCTTCCTCATAACACACTGTATGGCGCATGCCCGTCTTCATTAGCCCAGTCGCAGTAGAACAGTGAGAACGTTTGAAGAAACTGGAGGTGTTTTCTCCGGCGCCCCCCCCCCCACACACACACACCAGCACAACACATACACTGGTAAACTCCTGGCGCCTTCACTGTTTAACATTCCTGATAGATTTATATTATCAAATCAAAAACAATTATTATGTCGAAAATTATTGACATAGCGAGAGTTTCACTTTCATTCCATTTATATAATTACCCCCAGTTAAAGACATCGACTCGATTTCTGTAGATTCCAAATTATGTTTGACCTGTAAAACAAGCTAGGAACATTGCGAGTCAGATTATTTGATTAGAACTATAACCCAGACGACAACCGGCGCCTCTTGGTTCCCACGTCTGAGTCATCTTGTACATGCAATCATTCCTACGTCGGAGGAAGACCCCGACGTTCAACTTGGCTATTTCCGAAACCATTCCGGGCATTGAAGAAAGGTATCTTTGCCGGGACAACGGCCACCGCGTCCCCCTATTTCAGAAAAGTATCCCAGCAAGACGTTAAAGCTGGTAAGCTGATATCATTGACTTTAGCAATGACAAAGTTTGTCATCAAATCATATAAGTGGTCATTATTCTAAACTAACGTGTTGTATGTATAGAAAGTGGTTAGAAATTATACTATTGTCATTAATTAGCAGGTGTGTAACTAGCTGCAAAAGATGTCACTATTGGTGTAAAAGCGTGACTCATTATAACACCCATCATTATTGAATACACAAACCTGGACAATAGTGATGTATATCACTGAATAGTCAAAGCACCTACATAATGACTAATGCCTGATTACTAACAATTTTAACTGACTAATACACAATTATATAAAATAACTACTTTGATCTCTTAGTGTCGTATATTTTCATTTATAAAAGTTATTTGTTGCTTTAGTCAACGGGTAAGGTGTTGGCTCGCTAGCCTGGAGGTCGAGTGTTCAATCCCTGCATTGGCCGAGAAAGTTCATCGGTTTTTTCCGACGTGGTATTCCTTTGTCAGTGTCTAGTCGTTCGGATGGGACGAAAAACCGAGGTCACGTGTACACATTGGCGTGCACGTAAAAGATCACGTGGCAGTTGGAATTCGATATAAGAGTAGGCCATTGTCCCGCTCCCTCATAGCACACTGTATGGCGTATGCCCGTCTTCATTAGCCGACTCGGAGAAGAAAAGTAGGACGTTAACCCCCTTTCATTTCATTTCATTTCGCTTAGTCAGGGGGGTTGAATGGTTAGCACGTGCGCCCTGTACCATAAAAGTCTGTCATTGAGTCAACTGGCGTGGTTTCGATTCCCTGGTTGTACGTGACAAGGAGTAGGGTCGCCTGTCCAACCTTGTGGGTTTTCTCCGGGTCCTCCATTTTCCTCCCACTGCTAAAGACCTCTACGCGCAAGCGAATTATTGAAATAAAATTAAACCATGTTAGCCCGAAATGACCTAGTTTGTGTCGAGTGGACGTTAAACCCCATTTCTCCCTCTCTCTCTCTCTCTCTCTCTCTCTCTCGCTTGGTCAACGATATCAACTTTACAGTGTAAACGCCAGTTCATTCCACAGTTGCAAACCACTTTAATACACCTTGGTTTAAATATATTCGAGTGTTTTGCTCCATAGATCATACTTCTCCGGTAATAGTTCGATAAATTACTTAATTTCCACTAGAAGATGACACCTGTGACAAGAACCTGTTCATCATCATTACGCAAGCAACTGTATCGTGACAATACAGCAAAGCGTTCAATAAATATATAGCCAACGAGATCGCAGAAGATTAATTATTTACACAAACAAAAAAAATATAGATTATTTGGTATGAGGTGCTGAATTATACTCAAATCATACAGCAGTGTCGGACGGACTGAACAGATAATAAAAAAAATAATGTACATTTTCCGCTTTTCTGATTGATGTACGTGCTACTACGTATACGTGCACTCTATTTGAGAGTTTTTGTCAAATGTTTGGCTGTCAGTTGGAATAATTGCGTATATTGTCTATGGCAGTCGAGTGGACGTTAAACCTCTACCCCTCCCCCCTCTTTCTCTCTCCCCCTGTCTCTCTCATACTGTGTGGTATCAAGTGTTCTAGAAAGAATAAGCTTATCTTGCCTCTTGCAGCTAAATGAATCGAAGGGTTATATTTGGATTGGATGCGATATGCAAAGTCAAAAGTTACTTTGTAATATCGTGATAGTTTTAAATAAATAAAATAATGGTGTCCACTACATTACGTCTAGACTTTGTTCTATTAATTACTCTTCAAATCTTCCGCCTTCGTCTACATGACCAGGTCCAGTAAACATCCATTTCAGTAAGTAGTGGCTTCCATTATTATTGAAACAGGAATCATTCAATGATATATGAAAGGGCACCTGTCAGATCAGACCCGGTCAATTTTATTAACCAATAGGAAGGACTGACACAATTTATAAAATCGTTCCTAGGATTTCGCTAAGAAGAATACTGTCCACAATCTAGATATCTCAACTTGTGATTTTATATTTCAGTGGCTGGCACGATACTGTGGCTGTTGTTCATTTTCAGACCGGTTGATGACGAGATTGGGCCGGATGGGGATGATATTAGATCTGTTAAGGAGGGAATGTGGCTGGTTGGGGGTGCAGGGTGCAGGAGGTGGAGATCAGACCAGAAGGGTTTGGGGGGAAGGCGATAAGGCATGTTTGGGTGGAGATCGGGACGATTTGATTTAAGGAACCAGGCCGGAGACTTCACATCTGTATGGAAAGTGCGCATCTATAGCTCAGGTTAATTGGTTTTCTATTAACAGTGTTAATGCACTGATCTTTATAAATATAGCATTCACCTCCTTTTAATCCCTGTAAGAGATTTCCGTTGTGTAGGTTTAGTTCCTAATGGCCCCCTAATCAAAGGTGTTAAGCTTTAATTGCATTTGATTATTATGTTTGTTGCATATTCTGTATATATATTTGCCCACAATTCACATATTTGTATCATTTACTTGATAAAGACGAGGGTATCCTCGTCGAAACGTCGCTTAGTATTAAACTCAGTAATTGTGTATCCATAAAATTGTACCTTGTGTTAATATGTTCAATTACTAAATGCCAATCAAAGAAGATTCTGGTTTAGGGTTAGCCGTTATGATTACCTGCCTAGCCCTAACCATCGTGGTGTTAATCACGGCGTGTGGGAACTTCCGTCTTCCTCAAAAGATCAAATCCCCTCACCAAATTACATGATCTCCTGACTAAACGACTTATCGCCTCGCCAAACGACCTGAATATGCCCCCCCCCCCACAATAATATATTTGTTGCCATATGGATGGATAGGGACGTTCTCTATATGACCTAAACATTTGACTTACTGGCCCCACTTAAATTTACAACGTCTCCTTGACCAGTAGGACCATTCAGGACAGCCAGTACTAGGTGTTAGATAATATTCCACAGGCATTAATGTACTATACTGTTTTCGGTTTGTGAGGATTAAAGTTTGAGACTAGTCCAGACGAATATTGGACATACCAATTAGTAGGCAATTACGTTTTGTTCTATTTAAATATCTTGTCGTAGGAACATTTGTCTTTTGCCTTTTCGAGAAGAGTGTCGTGGAGTAGGGACTACCGGTTGGTTTGGATGGACTATTATTTGATCTCTAAGCCACATACGCTCACGCCAGCACTAGGGATCTGAACCACGACCACAAGTTAGAAGTGACTGAACAGGTATAAGAGGTAGACTCCAACCCAATTTTATACTATTGGTTTTAAACTATTGGTTTTAAACTATCTGTTATACTGTGACGGAGTTGTGGCCTTTTGTTATGAAATCGATGTTTTGCGAAGCCTTAACCCGCAGCAGTAGAAAACTCAATTCATTTTAAAAACAGTTTTAAAAAGTATCCTCTAATTATCCCAAGAAGGAATAGCGAGATTTTTAATTCTTAAAAATGACGTGATAGTCGTTATAGCAGTATTTTATTTCGATTTTCATTTTCAAAAGCCAATGCATTCCCACTAAACGTATATTTTGGAGCCACGGTGGCTCTGTGATTTTTCATTCTAGTTTCCCTTTGTCAGTAGAGCAAGACGAGCGGCCTAGCAAAGAAGAGTGACTAGTCCTTCGGATGACACGAACATAACATGAGGTCCCATGTAGACATTGGAATTCGAAGAGTATGCGGAAACGCCGACACTACATGGCGGATGGCCGCGGGTTCCCCTTGTCAGTTGCGCAGTACGGAGGGCATAGCAAGGGACATCGTATAGGCTTTCGGTGGGATAAAAACCAAGGTTACGTGTACACAAGAAACCTTGACTGTTGGAATTCTATATAAGAGTAGGCTTTAGCGCCGTTATCCGGGCAAAATTCACCGAATAGGACACTGCATGGCATATGCTTCAGAACACTGGGACGTTGAACTGCATTTCATTTCATTTCCGCGTGCGCGTGAAACCACAAGGTCCACCAGTCAAGTGGCGTGCTTTCGATTCCCCGCTGGTACGTGACGACATGGAGTAAGGTCGCCTGGCTAACCTCGTGGGTTTTCTTCAGGTCCTCCGGTTTCCTCCTATAGCTAAAGATCCCCCCTCTCTCTCTCTCTCTCTCTCTCTCCATTTCATTTCTCTCTCCATTTCATTTCTTTCTCCATTTAATTTCTCTCTCCATTTCATTTCCGTCGTTTGACTATCATAAAACTTGTATAATTAAACAGTGCCCAGGTAACAAGACGTAACATTGAACCACGTTTCAATGAACAAAAACATTCAAGAATAAATTAATGCAAAGTATTTTAATTGGACCGTTAAATAATAGAACAAAGCTAACCATTTTTATAACAAATTCTTTATTTACAAAAACTAGAACTTGAAGTAGCTGGTTTGTGATGCACTTCTCTTGTCAACACATAAAATGGTTGAAGATATAATCCAGTGACATAGTAGCTCGGTATTATTACAACCCGCATTGTGATGTGTATTCATAACCCAATACGATCAATCATACAGCAAGTTCATGTATTTTGGGCGTACGAATTATAGGAAATGAAATGAAATGAAATGGGGTTTAACGTCCTACTTTTCTGCTCCTAACCTGGGCTAATGAAGACGGACATACGCCATACAGTGTGCTATAAGGGAAATTTTGCCCGGGCACGCCAGTGTATACACGGGACCTCGGATTTTCGTCCCATCCGAACGACTAGACAGTTGTCCTTGCCTGGTCCTCCATCGTGCATCACTGACAAGGGGAAACCACGCCGGAAAATCTGAATGAACTTTCTCGGCCAATGCAGGAATCGAACACCCGACCCCTAGGCTAGCGAGCCAGCGTCTTACCCACTTAGCCACGTGATCCCCCGCGAATTATAGGACAATAACCGGTCGCGAAAGACTGACCATACGAAACATGCATAATGATGCTACATTAAAGATACATTATGTAAGATTAGATAAAGAGCTAGATAATTTAATTTGAATATGCTGAAAATTTCTGTCCAATTGCTTCACTTTAAGCCGAGAAAACCTTATTTTAAAAATTACTGTAGCCTCGATTGTCATTGTTACCGCTGTCGCGATAATTAACAAAGTCACGATTATCTATTTTTGCGTTTAATCATCAACGGACGTCGGACACATACGATGGCATTGAGATTTGATTATGGTATTTTCATGTTAATAAATGTGCAATTAATAATGTACATAACATTTCAGGCCTAAAGAAAGACCTGCAATAGGCAGATTTAGCTCTTGCATAAAGCATGTTTAAGTTGTTGGGCGTACCCGGTCTCCAGCGTCAATATAAAGCATGTTACGATTCTATAAATTATGCATTATGTTGCACCCCCTCCCCCAAAGGTCCCACACAAGAATATCTGGAGCCCAGTTTACAAGCATTATATAACCCCCCGTGCAATTATGATCCTCAGAGTTGTCCATATAAATATTTGATTTACAAGCCCGTAAGTCTTATGACCGCTGTGTGAATACATTTTATGTGTCGACAAGAAGGGGTAATTTTATTCTAATTACGTATCCATAAATACAGACTAATTAAACTATAAATATAAACAAGTTATGTACAATTATTCTCAAATATATACACATCGACAAAACTTATTTTAATCAAAGCATCAGTATTTTGTTCTGCATGGCTGTTGAGCTTTATAATAATTCAAAAACTGTCTGTCCAGTTAAGCGGTTCATGCTAGTGAGTGGCACTAGTGGGGTTATCTTGAGGTTTTATACCCGTATCTAAAGGACAGATCCTTTCATGTGATCGGTAAAATTTGTCCTGTGGTTACAGATGTTTTTGGACTACGGATAATGTCATGTAGGTTTTGTCCTACGGATAAATTCATGACGGTTTTGTCTTACTGATAAATTTATGTAGGATTTGTCCTACGAACTAATCAGCAACTGAGCCAAAATCAAGAATAATAAACTTCAGGAAATCTCCTTTAAAAGTTGTTTTAAAGCAGCAATCAGTTAGCTGACTGTGCCGGACTCCATTTCTTTCATATGAAAATATACATCGGGATGGTTGATTTTAAGTCTTATAATGAATTTTGTCGCGGAGAAAACTGTCCCATTAAGTAAGAGACAGCTTCTGTGTAAACGATCAACCTTACATATGATATTTTCAATTAAAGATACATTATGGGAGATTAGATTGATCCACTATGAACCGAGATTTAAGCGATTGAATTTTCAGCCTAGCCTCGATCATCATTATTAGGATAAAAAAACATAGTCTCAATTATCTAATTATGAATGGAAGTCGAACAGCAAATCGGAACCTAATCCAATAAACATCGCAGCCTACCAATGTCACCGAGAGTTGATTATGGTCTGGATAAGTTAATTAAAGTCTAATTAGTAATTTAGATAACATTTCAAGCCTAAAGAAAGACCTGCAATAGACAGATTTAACTCTTGCATAATGGATGTTTAAGATTATCATTTTAAAGGAGCTAAGTTTCTAACTCAATATCTTCGATAATATTCGAAATTAAAAAACACGAATTATAATTGAATATTGGTCAATTTCAATCAATATTGATGCTGTTATCTTGCCGTGAAACTATAGGATTCAATTATCCAATATTTAAGACACAATTAACATTAATTGTATAATCATTACACGAGTCGTGTACCCTATGGATTCGGGTGTCATTTTACAATGAACACATAAAAACATATTCTACTACACAATGTGCAAGTAATTAGTAATGGCTGATTCACAAACGATATAATAATAATTTAAAAAACGTGTAGAATGCACTAAACAGGCGTGCACGACTGCGGTTCAATTTGAACTGTTCACGTGTTTCACCGAACATAACTGATTAGAAATTACAATATTTTGTTTCAAAAATTGAATACAAATCACTTTGCATACATATTACATTATGTACTTTTCGAACCATTTTTGTATATTTCAAGGTTAAAAAAAATAGAGCCACATGCCCTTTAACTCAATATAACTTACCCTGAACCGCTTGATTGGAAGGTCAGTTAAGTTAGAATTTATTGATAAAACACACACACTATTAAGCATCATTTCACTATTATGCGGAGACAATTTTGTGATTAATACACAGAAGCGGTATACTTAAAAAGAAATACATTAATAAGACTAGCTGAAAATGAGGGATGTAGAATGAAAGCAGTCAAATCTCTTTCATAATCCTTCTTCTAGTGTCTGGTTCTCCTCCAAAATGGCTTTTGTTTCCTTGACGATTTCGGTCTTTTAAAGACTCTGGTTGTTACGTGCACAACATCATTTATATAGAAATGCTGGTGGTGGCGGGGATATTAACTTAGACGTGCGAAAGGAATTTAGAAGCTTGGGTAGTAAGTATGTACATAAAATGACCGCGAGTCTAGTGGAATGCGACAATAGGTAGGCTAAAAACGCCGCTGTCTTGGCGAACTCTCCCCCTGCATGTAACAGCAATTAAACTAAACCGTGAGTGAGTTCCAAAATGGCGATTGTATAGTTTAATGATGTGTTCCACCTTATTAATTTAATATCTACACATAGTATTAATATAACACAATTAATGGCGCTAAAATAATCAAACAATTTCACAAAAAACAACAAAAAAACAATAGGCCATTTATAATATATACAGCATTGATATTTATAATTATTATCCCATGTCTCTCCAGGAAACCGATGAATGGAAACTGCCAGAACTGTTTAAAGTGAGTATCGGAACATTTGTCAATCGAACACCAGAGTTGTTTAAAGACAGTATCGGGAGACTGGTCAATCGTACAACAGAACTGTTTAAAGACAGCACGGCGACATGAGTCAACCGCACACCAGACCTCTTTAAAGATGACAGTACGAGAAAATTTGTCAGTCGATCACCACAGTTGTGAAAGAACAGTACCGGACCATTTGTCCATTGATTAGTTTAAAAGGATTATTCCACAAGATCTTATCATCCATCTTGAATGACATCATTCTGTTTCCGAGTTACCTGTTACAAACACACCGGTCAGTAGGCCCCTGGTGATGATGTCATGCGTATTTCGTTTTACGGAGTAGCTACTTCCGTTTCCGTTTCTGTTTACTAATTTTTTCACTGTGGCAATCATTGTTTTTTTTTAAAGACTAAATATAAATGAATTATGTTATCAAAATCTATATATTACTACGAGTTATTATTTCAGATTCAGTATAAAATTGCACAGCCCATCCCTGTCACATTCGTTGCATTTTCAAAATTCTGCTATCGACGACAGCAATGATCTACATTGTTCGTGACAACTTCCCTTTTTTTCAGAACACTTTCAGTAAGCTAACCAATTTAAATTCCGTTGTTTTGCATAAACGTAATTTCACAAATAACACTAGCTTTCCTCATCAAGTTGAATATTTACGTTGTATTTTTATACACTCGAAAAAAATTGCTTCCGCTTAATGTTTGTGTTGTTTTTTAGTATTTAAAAATTATTGACGGGGACACGTTTTGAAAACAACTGCTGGATAACGCTTATTTGATTATTTAGAAGATCTAGGGGTCAAAGGGTGCCATAGGTTAAAGGTTTCACTGTGTATCGGCCATTTATAAGCAGGCTACCAGGTGCCTGACTATTTTTGTTGTCCTTAGTCTATGTCATTGTGTTTTAGATTGATTATACAGACCCGCTTTATCCATGCAAATTAGTTTATAGTTCATACAAATACATGTATTATCACATATAACACTCGCTCAGCTGTTGTATCACTCCGTCACTTTACGTCACCTCACACTGCGCATATTAACGTTATGCGCATGTCGACTAGATGGATTAAGGCACGCCGATTGCACCACATTTGTGTTCTACCATGTCACGTGATCGGCAGCCATATAGATAACGTCACTAAAAACATTAGAAAGAGTTTACCAGAACCACAGAACGAGGCTGAATCGGTGAGTGTATGAAGCGATCCAGTTCCTGCAAAGAGAGAACATTATTATAAATGAAAAGAACGTTGTACACTCAGAGTATGACTCTGAAATTGATCAAAGTCATTAGAACCGTTGGGGTTATAACACCTTTTTGCTTAACACACGTTCACGAATATTTAAGTATCTTGTTTCTGTGCTATAACTTATAAGTAGAATATGTTATTCGAAATAATGCCAAGGTATAATTCTTCGTGTATTTTCCACCGAAACGTAACTATACATATCTCCCCTATCATGTCAAACATTATATGGAATAGGCATGGTCTCGAGCTTGCACGAATTTATCTATGGCTAAATAAACAAGACTATAATACATTACAAATAATAATCGTCCCACTCCAACTCAACACGGTCATTCTTCAAAAAAAATGCACAGATACATCGGAATATTTGAAATTTATCCTTACTGCGTTAATGATAGGATAAACTAATAGAGGTACCGACACATTCCAACCGTTCGAAATCAGAAATCTTCCAGGTAAAGTCGAATATTATGCACAGATACACCGCAAGACCAGGGCCTTGTTTCACAAAATTTTAACTAAAGATAAAATCCAAATTTTAGTAGATAATTCAATTTTGATTGGCTAAGCACTAAAATCAATCTAATATTATCCAATCAAATTACTCAAATTTGGATTTTATCTTAGTTAAAATTTAGTGAAACAGGACCCTGGTCCTATTTTCAATATTTTAAAATAATTTTGTAATGCTTTCCTTACAGCATTATCAACATGAACTACATCTTGTTGTCCCCAACACTATAGACTAGAGTTTTTTGGTCACAGATGATTCTCATGCATTGTATCAAATCTATGGAATTCACCGCTGATCATGAAGAATTTAAAATCTCTTGACTGTTTGGAGAATTAGTTAAAGACTTTATTCGACTGCTTATAACTTTAATTGTGTTTTTGTCTTGTAAATGAAATGAAATGAAATGGTGTTTAACGTCCTACTGGTCTGTTCCGACTGAGCCAATGAAGACGGGCATACGCCATACAGTGTGCTATGGGGACAATTGTGCTCGAGCAGCCACACTATGGCTTACTCTTTTATCGAATCCCAACTGCCAAGGGATCTTTTACGTGCACGCAATGCATACACGGGACCTCGGTTTTTCGTTCCATCCGAACGACTAGACAGCTGTCCTTGTCAGGCCCTCCGTGCTGCACCACTGACAAGGAGAAACCACATCGGAAAACCCGATGATTTTGTCTTGTAATAAGTTGAGAGCTAACTGCGCATTGAACACTAAATTTGATGGGCTGGGCAGTATAAGTACTCGCTGTTAGTATAAAAGGATAAATAATGGATATACTTGTAAAACAGGAAGACCCGATCAATGCACAATATTATTTTTTAATATAATTATTTGTTTTCTTTACAACATTTACAATCTGATAAACAATTGTTCGATGTCAAGTGTTTTAAATAAATCAAAATAATGAACCCAATTTGGAAATGAAAATTACAAAATAAACAAAATTACCTCTTTTAACATTCGGTGATTCAGCTGCAAATAAAAAAAATTAAAAATACATTTTATTAAGAAATGCAAAAAAAGAGCATGATTAATGGTTGTTTTTTTTTAAGTCTGCTGCATTATTGTCGTCTGAAAAGTAGGGAAAGAAATGATGATAAATTGGAAATTAGCGACATAGCAGATATAGGTTGGATAAAAACACTATAACAAATCCACGTTGTTATTGTATTAAACAGCTTCCTTTTCATACGAATTCAAACTTTTAGATCAAGTCCCAGTATGTGCAGAATTCTCGCACTGGAAAAGAAATGAAATGAAATGGGCTTTAACGTCCTACTGTTCTGCTCCTATACTGGGCTAATGAAGACGGGCATACGCCATACACTGTGTGCAATGAGGGAAATTTTGCCCGGGCAGTGGCACTATCGCCTACTCTTATATCGAATTCCAACTGCCAAGGGATCTTTTACGTGCATTCCAATGTATACACGGGACCTCGGTTTTTCGTCTCATCCGAAGGACTAGACAGCTGTCCTTGTCAGGCCCTCCGTCCTGCATCATTGACAAGGGGGAACCACGCCGGGAAATCTGGATGAACTTTCTCGGCCAATGGATCGAACACCCGACCTCCCCGCAAACGAGTTCCGTGCCAATATCTCCGTCCTGCATCACTGACAAGGGGGTGCCACACTAAATAATACAGAGGAAATCTCTCGGTCTAAACCGGCATCGAACCAGGGACCTCCCCATAACCGGGTTCCGTGCCAAGACCCCCGTCCTGCACCACTGACAAGAGGACGCCACACTAAATAATATAGAAGAAATACGTCGGTCGACGCCGCATTCATCCAGGAACCTCACCGTAAGCGAGTCAGTGACCTACCTACTCAATGAACCACTATGGCTCTCTTTTTGATCAACTTACCTAATAAGACTGTGACGTGTTTACTGTCAATGACGTCCTCAGAACTTCTACAGATATAGGTTGCTGTATCTGACATAGAGCTTCTATCTATATACAGTTCACTGATTAATGCACGATGTTTTATACTGTGGTATTTAGTCATTATTATGTGTTGGTATTTATCACTGTCTATTTTATCGCCATTTTTAAACCAGTCGATGTCCTCTGGCATGTGTGGACCGCCGGTGGCGTTGCATCGAAGATGTATTCTATGTCCAAGTTCCACGTAATCTTTTCCCGTTACTTTGACAGCTGCAGAAAATATAACATCTGAAATTTAATAAGCAATCTTTTGAAATATTATTATCTGAAGGATATAACATAATAGTCACTTTTACCGCTAGCGCTAAGTTCCCACTATCACGATTCGCGCTACGATTGAACTGGCTAGATCTATTTGTTAAAGCCAACTCAATTTTCGTCACAGTCGCTGTGATGTGAATAAAGTTAGGGCCCGTGATTGTTGACGAGATTGTAGGTTAGGGTTAGGGTAAGCGTTAGGATTGAGTTCAGGAGTAGAGTTAGGATTGGGATTAACCCTAGCCTTGTTTAGATTTCGTGACCTTTGACCAAACTTGAAGTTGGCCTGTAAATTCCTATCTGGTCTTATCATCTGCACGTACCAGATAGTGGACTCAATAGGGACAATCCTAACGTAAAACATCGCACGGCAGTGGGAACTTAGCTTAAATACTATATTGCACAGGACAGGGGCGTGGTGGCAGTGAGTTTGCGAGTACACATACAATCCCCACTTTTTTTGTGCCATTACTTACTATCAAATAATTAACATTTCTTACAGACTTTTGCTACAGAAAAACAAATGTTAAAAAAATGTAGAAATGATAAAATATATGTGGTGTACACGATTGTCAATCATTATCAGAAGTCTTTTGAATTTTCACAAATTTGTCGGTAACTCTTGTTACCTTTGACTTTTGTAACGGGGAGAGGAGACACGCCCCCACCCACCCACATCACCCCTAACACATGCCCCACTCAGTTGACTGCCTACTCACGGTATTTACGCCCCCACCACGCCCTGCCACAGGAGATATTGTCTGTTTGGTAATAAACGTTATTTATATTATTTTATTTCCTGGATTGGTCAGTTTTTTCTTTTGATATATAGAATAGAACATTCGCTATTTAAAAAACAAATATTATATCAACAAAAATTGTATATAGTAAGGCCTCAGTAGAACTCTGTATATCGAGAGTTTCAACTTCTTGAGGGAAAAAACCCACCGAATAAGATCCCAGTTACACATGTGACGTCAACCACTTTGTGACGTCATCATCTTACAGGTGTATGTGACCAGAATGTATTACTTGCACTGATCAATGACCGGGTGGGTTATTTCTAGTTGAGTAGCGATACAACTATTAATAACTGATAAAACTAGATAAACACCTGCACCGTAATCACAACCCACACATCGACTCTTCCTTTTTATCCCGAATGGTTAGCACGTGCCCGCTGTATCATAAGGTCTGTCATTGAGTCAACTGGCGGGGTTTCGATTCCCCGGTTATACGTGACAAGGAGTAGGATCGTCTATCCAACCTCGTGGGTTTTCTCCGGGTCCTCTGGTTTCCTCCCACTGCTAAAGACCTCTACGCGCAATTATTGAAATAAAATTGAACCATGTTTTAGTCCCGAAATGACCAAGTTTGAGTGGAGTGGACGTTGAACCTCATTTCTTTCTCCCTCTTTTCTCGTTTTAAATTTGGTGCCTCATGTTAGTGAGTATAACCGGTTAATTCTGCGTAGAAGGCTTTTTAGAAACTTTGTGATTCCAATTGGCATATGTAGTCGGCCTAAAGATGCCTACGTCTTCATTTATCCGGGGGGTGGTGGGCTCATTTAGTCAAGTGGCGTGGTTTCGATTCCTGCTTGTAAGTGACAAGGAGTAGGGTCGCCTGTCCTACCTCGTGGGTTTTCTCCAGGTCCCCCGGTTTACTCCAATGCTAAAGACCCATGCACACAAGCGAATCATTGAAATAAAATTGAACCCAATGGGTCTCTCTTATTAATCCAGTTGATCTTATAATGAGAGCTACGGTATAGCATCCACCCAGTTTAAGTGATAACTGATAGTCGTTATTACCAGACTTTAATTGAACAATAGAACACGTTATACACGTCACGAAAAAATCTACCGGTCACTTCCGGATGACGCTATATTTCAAACACGATTTTTCCCAAAACAAAATTTCACATGTCGGCTTTTGATTTCTATCAATGGATACTCTGTGAAGTCCAAGAAGGTGCCTTTAAAAGATATAAAAGTGATACGTCTATACAATTAGTGTAAAAATAATTTATTTTTGTCTGTATTCGGGAATGAAGTTATTTTAGTTACAGAAAGTAACAATTCCGGAAATTAACATACAAGTATAGACAAATTGAAAATTGTTCTGGGCGATAAATAGACGAGTGCTTTGTCAAAACGATCGCGTGTGAACCAGTTTTAGAAAGTCGTGTTCCAGTCCCCAAAACTGTACAAAAAAAGGAAGATCAAAAGATTGACGTCTGAGAAATGTAGTGGAGATATCGAAACAATCCACACATATGAACTCATAAAACCAAAGATACGATAGCCTACAATTGGAGTCAGATTCTCCAAATTCTTATTTATCTTAACGACATGTTCCATCTACATAAGTAACCACTCGGCAAACCTCAGCAGATCCCAGTACCCTTCATCTAGCTGCGGCTGTACGACGAAGTCAGCCATTGGAACTACTTTCAAGTTCCCGGATTACCAACGGCGTTGCCCATTACGACGCCTTTGAAGAATGTTTAATCAAGTTTATCCGATTTTCTTCAAACAAGGACAACTTTGCACTGAAAATTCTAAACAGGCTTCGAACGACGCAATTTTGATAACTTCTTTTTAAAAGCGGCAAGTTTTCCTAATAGTTAAACCGGTGCGGCATCGCAATTGTACAGGCGTAGGTACGTATCACTTACCGTCATACAACCGAGGCTAAATGTAGAGTAACGGAATCTGCCGAGGTTTGCCGAGTGCATAAGTAACCAATTCCCAACGTCAATCTACGAAATTCGGCACGTCGACTTACAACTGGTACCAAAAAAGCATATTCTTAAAACTCATCTGTTCAAAAGATTATGATTATTAAAGTCATCCGTATCCCATTTTCAATAACCTGTGTCAGTGTCAATAAGTTACTTTGTGATATTTTTGTGTTGATCATATCTGATCTGTTTTACTTCAGGCATTCGTGTTTTTACCACTTGTTTATTGTAAAACGCCTTTGAACAATCTTTTTGGAAATGGCGCTATATTAAAATTTCGATAAATAATTGTCAAAGTTGAGGTTTGTGTTTTCTGCGAAACATATAATTTCTTCAGAATGAAAAAGATGGCAGTAATCTTCAAACATTGATGTGGACCTTTTGTAAAAACAAAACCTACAATTTTTTAATGACGTGGGAGAAATTTGCGCAGATATATAACATACTAATGCCACCGATCTTTATACCTTTTAGGGCAATATCTAATTTTTCACGGCTTAATACGCGCTAAAATGTACTCAAATGAATTATTTAAAGGTGATAAATCGCTATTCTTTGGCACCTAGAAATGAACACAAATCGGTCGGAATGCATAAAATAATGCATATTGATTGTATATAAATTGACTTACATTCAACTGTTTTTGTTTTTACTGTAATTTCCAATCAATTAATTATATTTTGCGAAATGCGCGAAGAGTTCAAATTAAATGTTCATGTTATTCCAGTCTACACCGGTAGTATTCTCCTGTGTCCACTCGATTATTAATTCTCTTTAATTAGAAATATTATTAAATGGCAGCCAATCAGATATATCAAACGAAGGGTGTCGTAGCGCGTAAATGTAATAAGTCTCCCGGAAGTAGAATGATGGAAAACAGAATGGACCGGAAGTAGCTATATAGATGTATATATAGAGACATATATATCAGAAAATAGCCAGATCGATACGGAATATAGACAAAATGTCTAGAAAACAGGAACTTATCAAATGGTAATTTTCTATCTTAATTTCATCCGTTTAGCTTGAAACGTTCAAGCAAGACATAGATTGCCTTTTATCCCACAACGGAACTAAGTTTTGATTATAAAATATAAAAGGCATTAAAGGAAAGTCTAACGTAAATAATATATTGGGTCTATTTCATATTTAACCACCAAGCAATTAAATGAAATGGGGGTTCAACGTCGTAGTTTACTGCACCAATCAGGCTAATGGAGACGGCCACTAAGTCATGCATAAAACAAACAGTAAGCCAAAGAGTAATTTAAAAACCAAAATTAAACCTATTACATATTTTAACAGCCAAGCAAATTAAATGGAATGAGGTTTAACGTCCTGCGTATTCTTCATCAACCGGGCTAACGAAGCCAGCCAGTCAATGGAAAGGGGTTTAACATCCTACTGTTCTGCACCGACTGGACTAATGATGATCGGGAGACAGTCAATAGCCAAGCAATGCAGATAACAAAACAATAAAGTCAAGGAGTATTTTTCAAAATCAAAATTGGGTGAAAAACACATTTAACAGGCAAGCAATTAAATGAAATGGTGTTTAAAAGTCCTAATTTTCTGCAACATCTGCAATAATGAAGTCGGTGACCGGCCAAGCAATTCATAGAACAATCAATCAAAGTGGGGGTAATTTCAGAATCACACTTTCCCCAATACCTATAAATAATGCAATCGTGACATCGAGCTGCATTCTATTGCAGACCACAATGGCGTTATACACTTAGCCAGATAATAGCCTGCTGAGTGCATAGGTGCCATCTCCTACAACTGGTCGACAATCATAAATTTGAACATGTTATTGTAATAACATAACGCTAGATTATGAAAATTGTTTAAGACAAACGGACCAATTTCCTTCGTGCTTCCGTGATGTCTGCCTGTGTAGCAAATACGATTTTTGGTTTTCTTAACAGTTCTTACGCAATAGGTTAGGTATGGGGGGATGTAAACCTCATTTTAAAGTTTTCCCCGGTCATTAACTCAAAATTGTAATTCCAAACGCTAATTGGGGAAGGTTTAATTACAACATTGTGCATTCTTCGTTGTAGATTTTTGTATTAAGAACGTTATTGTGCTTACATGAAGACTTACCAGTAAGGATGAATAGAGCTCTACATTTTAACTGAGGGTTTTGTGTTGAAAATACAGAAGCTAAATATGCCAATTAATTGCGTAAGCCAAATACATATCTTGTTATAAATGAAGGTTGAAGTGATAAAGAGAGTGAGAGAGAGAGAGAGAGAGAGAGAGAGGGGTGAATGGAGTTTAATTCAAATCGACAAAACCTAGGTCATTTTCGGGACTAACATGGCGTTTGATTGTATTTCAACAACTTGCTTACCGAGGGGTATTTAGCAGTGGTAGGAGAGAGGGATAGAGGTGGGTTTTACCGTCCAATTGACACATACTAGGTCATTTCGGGACTAACACATGGTTCAATTTTATTTCAATAATCCGCTTGCGCGTAGGGATCTTTAGCAGTGGGAGGAAGCCGGAGGACCCGGAGAAAACCCACGAGGTTGGACAGGCGACCTTACTCCTTGTAATCGAAATCCCGCCAGTTGACTCAATGACATACCTTATGATACAGCGCGCACGTGATAACCATCCCCCCCAGCAGTGGTAGGAAACCGGAGGATACGGAAAAAACCTGGGAGGTTGGACATGCGACCCTTCTTGTCACGTACAAACTGGGAATCGAAACCACGCCACTTGAATCAATATTTAGTTTAGGAAAGAATCCTTCCCTTCACTTCCCCGCTAATTTTTAGACAAGTAGAAAATGGTGTTTATTTCGCTAATCCGTGGATGGGGGTGGGGGGCATATCTGACGCATCTAATTATTTGTGCTTTTTCATATTCAATAGGCAGGAGCGGGCTCAGATATCTAACGTAGATGTTATCATTGAATTCCGTATTAGAGATGTTATAAAGCTGTATAAATATATTTGTTTATTTACAAAGTGACATAGACTGCTATGTTTTTTCAAAATCTTTCGTTTAAGGGATTTAAGAAAAAAAAGCTTATAGAAGTTGTGTAAATATAATACAACACATAAATATGCTTCTTATAATATAGTATTTTACAGATAAAGTTGTGTTTTTACTTAATATAATATTTGCAGAGAAAGTTATGGTTTTACTTAATATAGTATTTATAGAGAATTTATGTTTTTACGTAATATAGTATTTACAGGTAAAGTTATGTTTTTACTTAATATAGTATTTACAGAGAACGTTATATTTTTACTTACTATAGTATTTACAGAGACAGTGATGTTTTTACTTAATATAGTATTTACAGAGAAAGTTGTGTTTTACCTAATATAGTATTTACAGAGAAAGTTATGTTTTACCTAATATAGTATTTACAGAGAAAGTTATGTTTTTACTTACTATAGTATTTACAGAGACAGTGATGTTTTTACTTACTATAGTATTTACAGAGAAAGTTGTGTTTTACTTACTATAGTATTTACAGAGAAAGTTGTGTTTTACTTAATATAGTATTTACAGAGAAAGTTATGTTTTACGTAATATAGTATTTACAGAGAAGGGAGTCTTTTACAGAGATGTATTTAAAGAGAAAGAAAGTTTCAGCTTTAGAAAGGTTTTCAAATTCGAAAAATAACAATATAGTGCAATTTTAAGACGTTTGTTTTGTTTACAGGACTAACAGAGTTTAAAAGTCCTAGTCGGTGATAGATTATGGTGCAAGGGTTGAACATGAGAATATGTGTGTGTTTTAATATACGTGTTGAAAGATTGGGTGGGTCTCAAGTATGCTCCCTTAAAGATAAGGTGCATTTCAAGTGTAGAGATTAAAGATTAAGTATACATCCCAAGTAAAGAGAATTAGCTCAATTAAAGATTAGGTGCATCTCAAGTATAGAGATTTAACTCCATTAAAGATTGGGTGCATCTCAAGTATAGAGATTTAGCTCCATTAAAGGTTAGGTGCATCTCAAGTATAGAGATATAACTCCATTAAAGATTAGGTGCATCTCAAGTATAGAGATTTAGCCCCATTAAAGATTAGGTGCATCTCAAGTATAGAGATTTAGCTCCTTTTAGCACCTTTAAAGATTAGGTGCATTTCAAGTATAGAGATTTAGCTCGATTAAAGATTAGGTGCATCTCAAGTATAGAGACTTAGCTCCATTAAAGATTAGGTGCATCTCAAGAGGAGTTTGGATTATTTGATAAACTTACGTTTATGTCTATGTCTATATCTATTTCTAGATCGCTCGATTATTCCTGCAAATTAATCAAAATATATTTGTATCATATGGTGTATAACTGAAATAAAATCAAAAGCGCTTTATCGTACTTATTGTCTGCACCACCCGGGCTAATGAAGACGGGCAATTCTCTAGCCTCTATCATTCAGAAATAATATTCTAGGTCGTTGGCTAGATTATCCGGTCTTATACATTATCATGAACAAGGACTAAGGGAGGTAACTAGCCCGAAAACAAGATGTCGACGTCCGTGAAATTAATTTAAGAAATGCCATTTCAGAAAATTCATGTGCATTGCCAGTTCAATATCCAGCACTCTTAATTTTGTTATTGTTTCTCTTTTTATGGAGCACGTCTGTGGTTTTTTTTTTAATTAATCCCAATTCGTCGTCACAATTCATGTTTATTTATAATAATGCATGAATTATGGGATTTATTTCGTGAAGGAGCGCAACTCTTACTTGACACGGTGAAATTTACTTGATCAACTCCCGTTTACGCATTGGCAATGGAACATTTTGTGAAATGTTAACAACAGACCAAGATCCGTACTTTGAAGACTAGGAGGTTCTGGGTAACTAGCAATACTCCATACAGTGTGTTATGGAAATTTTCTGATAGTCTACTCTTAATTTGAATTACAAATTCCAAGAGTTATTGTACATGCATGCCAACGTGTACAGGGGACCTCGAATTTTTGTCACATGGGAACCACTAGACACCTTTTCTATTGCAGACCCTCCGTCCTGCACCGACTGGCCAAGGACACCATGATGGACAATTCATAATAATATTGAATAGTGTTATGACAATAACTTGTGGTCGATGTTGGAGTGAGTCAAGTAGTCAAATTAGAATAGCTGTAAAATGTTTTACAGACTTAACGTGGAAATTTACGGAAACTTGCCAGAAAACTCTCTCAATACTGCCTAAAATTATTGTAATGCTATGAGATAAGTGGCATGCTTCAAATCCCAAGCTTGAATGTGACAAGAAATAGCGTCGCCTGCCCATCCTCGTGGGTTATCTATGGGTCCTCCAGTTTTCTTCACTGCTAAAACCCCTACACGCAAGCGTATTAGCGAATTAAAAAAATGTAAGATGGTGACTTGTGTTGAGTAAACGTTAACACTTTTAGCACTGTGAGAATAGATTTCTGCCCTGGCTGAACGCACATTGAAACATTACTATATTATGTTTTGTAATGTGTGTGAGAGAGAGAAATAGGGTTTAACGTCTACTCGACACAAACTAGGTCATTTTGAACTAACATATGGTTCAGTTTTATTTCAATAATTCGCTTGCGCGTAGGGGTCTTTAGCAGTGGGAAGAAACCAGAGGACCCGGAGAAAACCCACGGGGTTGGACAGGCGACCCTACTCCTTGTCATGCACCACCGGGGGAATAGAAACCATGTCAGTTGACTCAATAACCGACCTTATGATACAACGCTTACATCACGCTAATCATTCCCCCCCCCCCCACGTTTTGTAATGTGGGTATTGTCTGATTTATATCTTTGATACACACAAAGACTAAATAAACATTTTCGGTTTCATTATATGGAAGCAGAATAAAAACTCCTCACAATTCTCGAAGTATACTTTAGTGTTTTCTATTAAAATCGGTGATTTAGAAATTAAAATGTCGGCCAAACAACTAATTGTAGACAGAAGTTGAACCTGTCCTCCCCGTTGATGTGGTCAACTCCGGCAGAATACGAAATGAAATGGGGTTTAACGTCCTACTGTTCTGCTCCTATACTGGGCTAATGAAGACGGGCATACGCCATACAGTGTGGCACTATCGCATACTCTTATATCGAATTCCAACGTGCATTCTAATCTATACACGGGACCTCGGTTTTTCGTCTCATCCGAAGGGCTAGACAGCTGCCCTTGTCGGGCCCTCCTCTGCACCACTGACAAGGGGAAACCACGTCGGAAAATCAGGATGAACTTTCTCGGCCAATGCAGGGATCGAACACCCGACCTCCAGACTAGCGGCGGAATACGAACTAAATGCATCTCGACATTTATCTAATCTAAAAACTTCACACATGTTTACAATGTTGTGGTTTTTCAAGGAGTACTCCCATTGCAGTAGCGAACAATGGTAACCTCCAACCAACAAGCTATTTCTAAATTTTCAAATCCCGAACATTATTAGTTCTTTTAAACCTATAACGGTAAGTCTTTTAACGGTAAGTTATTCTATGCCCGGAATAACTTGCGGTCTGAAATACAGGTAAATTGTGGATTATTCTTCTGAAAGTTTTTCTTTAAAACTGTAACGGGTTATTCTTCCAGGGTAGTTTTTTCCATAAGAAAACATGATATAAGGTTTTTCTTACTTGAATTCTGAGATATTCCCATTTTACGTACACGTAAACATAGCCGGTTTATAAGCAAGATAAAGTCCTCGCTTCGGTTATGGTGGGCAAGAAAGACTTCAGAAAAAACCCTCAACAGAAAATACTCGGCCTGCCGGCCTCGGGTTTCTTTTTCTCGGGTTATTTTCTTCAGTCATTCTTTCCCCAGGATAACCTCGGTCTCGTGCTTTATCCTTCACTTAATACAATACAGAATTTGTGTTTGAGAGTCAATCACCGGTTCTCGCAATGATTCACTATTTAATAATTTCCACAGAATTTACGAAAGTAATTTTTGCTTTCATCAAATACATATAACAGTCGAGCTTGGACTTATTTCCGGAAAGACGTGTGACCCCCCGGCACACTTTTGTTTTTTTACTATAACGTTATGTAATAAACTAAGCTAATTTTCATTTTGATCATCTTCGTGTATCCGCGGGGTATTGACATACGCAAGGAAAAAAACCGTCGATGTTAATTCGCTTTTCACCACGATTTCTCACTTGAGGCAGAACGAGAAGCAATAGTTGAGTGTGCCGCGAAAAACACCGAGGCCATATTAATATCTTGTTATGTAAATGGTTACTAAACGTTACAAACCTAACATTTTTTTCGGATACAGAAAAAAATACGCATTTTTGTTTGAGGTGGTGTGGGAATTATGAAATTTAAGGAAATTTTGAAAGTGCGAATATTCACGGTAGGAAAAATAAATAAATAATGGGGTTTCACGTCCGCTCAAAAAAAAAATATATGTCATTTCCGGAATAACATACGGCACATTTTTATTTCAATAATTCGTTGGCAGTGGGGAAAACCGGAAGACTCCGTGTAAAACCAAGAAGTTACGAAGACGACTGTACTCTTTGTCGCATACAAGAGTGGGATCGAAACCACGCCACTTAACTCAATGAATGAATCAGTTTAGATCATTCGGCCACCTAATTAATATATACAACCATTTAGATTTTAAACTTGACTCAATGAATGACTCAGTTTAGATCATTCGGCCACCTAATTAATATATATATAAACTTTTAGATTTTAAACTTGACTCAATGAATGACTCAATTTAGACCATTCGGGCACCTAATTAATATATATAAACTTTTAGATTTTAAACTTGACTCAATGAATGACTCAATTTAGACCATTCGGCCACCTAATTAATATATATAAACTTTTAGACTTTAAACTTGACTCAATAAATGACTCAATTTAGACCATTCGGGCACCTAATTAATATATACAAACTTTTAGACTTTAAACTTGACTCAATGAATGACTCAATTTAGACCATTCGGCCACCTAATTAATATATATAAACTTTTAGATTTTAAACTTGACTCAATGAATGACTCAATTTAGACCATTCGGCCACCCAATTAATAAATACAAACTATTAGATTTTAAACCTTTAAGTCACGTGTATATTGGTCATCAGATTGCAATGTTAAATATAATGTTGTCTAGCCGGAATGAGTTTGAATTTACCCAAAACACATAAAACGGAACCTGTCGTATATTCGGTGATTCTACAACATAACAGGAGACCCGGTGGCTCAGTGGGTAAGGCATTGGTTGGCTAACCTTGAGGCCCCCGTGTTCGATTCCGGTGTTGGTCGAGAAAGTTCATCGGAATTTTCCGGCGTGGTTCTTTATTGCCAGTGGGCCTGACAAGTGGAAACGTATAGACGTTCGAATGGGACGTACACACAGCGTGCACGTACAAGATCCCTTGACAGTTGGAATTCGATATAAGAGTAGGCCGTAGCGCCGATGTCCGGGAAAAATTTCCCTCATAGCACATTGTATGGTGAATGCCCGTTTCCCTCATAACACTTTGTATGGCGTATGCCCGTATTCATTTGCCCAGTCGGAGCAGAACAGAGGACGTTAAACTCCATTTTATTTTTTTTATATAACGCAACAGATATCAGCAAAGTAACTATTTTATAAATGATCGCCTCATTGACTTTTACAATATTCATTTTAAAAACAGTATCTTTACCTTATTACCTGTCAACACCTGGTTTTATCAATCTGAATACACGTGTATAAATCTGTCAATATTACTTCTAAAACACCTGTATTTATGTTTTTATCTGCCGTATTTATAGAAGTATCTGTACATTATCTACTTTAATATAGTTATATATGTGTCGGCATACCTTTCATAAGCAGTTTTTGTCGGCATACCTTTTATCTTTTCATCGTTTACCGTGAAACAAAGTAGGGAATTTTATATATGAATTTTAATAGATGGCCTGCTCTTACCATCTATATATATACGAGTATATACAAGCATTTTCCCTAAAAAAATATCTGGCTACATTTCAAACTAATAGTAATCTTACGTTTTCTACTTCCAAATGCCTCAGTCAACTTTGTAAATGCTGCAAGCCTGTGATTATTGATACTAAATTCAACTTTTCTAACGTTAATCATACGTTTAAAATTAATAGTAGTATGAACTGTATGTTCTTGTATGTATCCAGTTCGGAAAATATTATTTAGATGACTCCGGTACAGAACTACGGATACCTGTTCATCGGTATTAAAGCATACAAATAAGTCCCGATTTTAACGCTTCTAAACTATGATCGGACTATGGACCTGTAACTGACCATGTTGTTGGATGA